GAGGAAGAAAGCAATGCCTTCTTACCCACCAGGGAAGAGGAAGGAGAGGAGCCAGGCTTACGTTTCTGACTCGGAGACAGGTATGCCAGCAACAACGTACTGGGCGACACAATTGTCTCAACAGGAGAAGAACAGGAATGAACAACATGAAGATTGCTGGGAGGATGGTGGGCAACAGCCTGCACTGTTCCAAGGCTACAAGAGTGAAACTAAAGTAATGCAACTAGGCACCCCACAAGGAGGAGTACTTAGTCCTACCTTGTTTAATGTTCTAATTAATGCTTTACTAAAATCAATCCCAACTAGTCCGGCAAACATCACTATCAGCTATGCAGATGACATCCTTGTGCATACTAAAACCCACCGCGAAATGCAAACAGTCTTAAATTGTATACATACAGCTTGTGAGAGCCTTGGTCTTGTAATCAACGCTGCTAAAACTAAGGTATTTAACAGACAAATTGGCAACCGCAAAAGTGGACCACGAAAACTTAAGATAGACAACATACCAATAGACTATGTCTCTTCTTTCAAATACCTTGGAGTCTCTGTTCCTTGTACCTCAACTGCAGTCAATAAGTTACATCAACAATGTAGAGACAGACTCAAGGCTCTCAGAACTGTAGTGGGGTACAGCCCGAAATATGGTGTTAATATTAGAATAGCAAGAATGATGTATTTAGCGTATATAAGGTCTCTGATAGACTATCATGCACCAGCTTTGGTCCTGCAGAATGGCAAAAGTATTGATAGACTGGAAAAAATGCAAAATGAAGCACTCAGAATTATACTTGGCTGTCCTATAACTACCAAAGTTCTCAACATGCGGAAAGAATTAAATATACTTAGCATTCGAGATAGAATATTTGAAATTAATCTTATGATGGGACTAAAGCTGCTGCGTGATAACAAAAACATTGTGTCAGTTGCACTGTTAGAACACATACGAAATGGAACTAGCGAGTCTAAATGGATTCAAAGAACTGCCACTCATATTAAAATGATGGGACTGCACGATGTATACACAGATGAAAGAGTACAGCACTTCCTTCCACCCTGGCAGATAGTACCTTTTGACATCCTGACCCCTGCATACCCCACCAAGAAACTAATCACAAGCAACCCTCATGCTCAGCTTGCTGCTAAATTAAGCACCATAGAACACATTCACAATATACAAGCTGAAAACAACATTGCACAGACCATATACACTGACGGATCACTCAATACAGCTACAGGGAGGGCAGGAAGTGCTGTTATTGCTCATCAGCCCGATGGCAGAATAATTCAAAGAAATATCCGAATTAGTAACTGGGCGTCCACAATGCAAGCCGAGTTGGTAGCGATACTGGTAGCACTCTAAATTATTGACAACACTGAAGTAGACAGCTTAATTATTTCTGACTCCCTATCCTCACTACGAGCAATAAACAGTTTGCAATCAAGTAATAACGTGCTTGTCTTGGAAGCTAGACGTAGATATGTAAGAATACTTAGCAAGAGGGTAAATATAAAAATGTTGTAGATTCCTTCTCACATTGGCATGCAGGAACATGACAAAGTTGACGCCCTTGCTAAGGCTGCAGTAAATAAAGACAGTATTGAATGGAATCTTGAGTTATCAAATAGGTCCCTTAAAAGTGTCATTAGACGAGAACTCCTGGATGGATTTGAAGAAAGTAGAACAGTGCAAACTGGAACTAGTAGGTCCATTGTTCATCACAATGAAATGTGTGAAGTAAAACATGTGTATGGGGCAAGTAACAAAGTCAGTAGACTAACAGATGTTGTCACAGCTCGTATAAGACTTGGCTACAAGTATCTCTGGCAGTTCGGCTTGTATAGGGATCTAGATGAAGTAAAGTGTAAAGTGTGTGGACATAGGCAGGGACACACACTCGAACACTATATCTTGGATTGTTGTAAAATTTAGCCTTTTAGAGATAAGTCTGGGCTCACTCTGTATGATATGGCAACCTATCTTATTACCATGGATAAATTACCTGAAATCCTTGCACTGTACCCACATTTTGCTTCCAGTAGATGAACGACATATGAGATTCAGAAACAAGTAGTGTATTGTGAGGATTAATAATAAACAGAAGCTCCCCTATGACTCTGTAATATCCCCATTGGCCAAACTATTATGTATTAACGACAAGACCTACCATTAATGTATGATGACTTACTGTAAATATGTAGCTCTTGTAGCTTTACAGCTCTTACTGTAAATATGTAGGATAGGAGTGGGGGGGGGGGGGCAGAAACCGTGGAGCGCACCTCAGCAAGGGCAGCAACTGAGAAGGAATCAGGGGCTAAAGAAACCTCCATAGCCGAGACAGTGGGCCCGACCACCAAAACGGAAGGGGACGGAGCGAGAAAGTCAGAGGTGGGGGGGGGGGGGGGGTGAGGGGCGAGGAAGAAAGCGACGCCGTCTTACCTGCCGGGGGGAGGACGAAGGAGAGGAGCCAGGCTTACGTTTCCGACTCAAAGAGACAGGTGTTCCAGCAACAACGTACTGGGCGACAGACTCTCAACAGAAGATGACCGGGAGTGAACAACATGAAGATTGCAACCCGTTCTCGCAAATTTAATAAGTCAATATTGACTTATTAAATATGTGCATAGGTGACATACTTAACATAATAGATACCCTTAAAAAGATTCATAGAAAACACCGACCTTACCTAACCTTGTTAGTATCTTAAGATAAGCATCTTATTGCTTCGTAATTACAATTATTACCTAACCTATAATAGGTATAGGTTAAGTAATTGTAATTACGAAGCAATAAGATGCTTATCTTAAGATACTAACAAGGTTAGGTAAGGTCGGTGTTTTCTATGAATCTTTTTAAGGGTATCTATTATGTTTAGTATATCACCTATGCACGTAGTTAATAAGTCAATATTGACTTCTGGGAGGGTGATGGACATCAGCCAGGCGGCGTGGAGAGCCAAGAGACTGGGGGGAGAGATGGGAAGAAGAATTGGGTAAAGAAGGGAAAGATACAGGAGACATGGCAGACTGGGTAGAAAGAAAGGAAACTTCAGATGGGAACCAGGAGGGGAGCCCCGTCGGGACAGAACATACAGGAACAGGGGAGGTGGTTGTGGACGTGTCTGGGTCTAAGATCTGGAATCGGTTGAGAGACTGAGTAACGTAAGAAGGACGAGGAGAGGTAGAACGCAACACGCGAGCGTAGGATATGCCAGCGAAAGGGGTGAGACGGCGAACTTGGCGTCTTGCTTCAGGAAAAGACAGACGATCCCGGTGTTTCAGGTTGAGGACGGCTTCCTCAGGTTTGCAGTGTATACACGAGTGGGAGAAGGTAGGGTGGGCCTCACTGCAATTGAGGCAGCGAGCCTGGGGAGAAGTGCACTCTGACTTAGAGTGATCATCGGCCCCACAGATGGGGCATCGATACACAGAATTTGAGCACTTGAGGACACCATGCCCAAACTTCCAGCACTTATTGCAAAGTCTAGGAGAGGGAATGTACTCCTGAAAGGAGCATCTGGCCCCAGCAAGGATTAGAGAGGGCTGAAGGATCCTACTATCAAAGGTGATTTTCATAACTCGAAGGGGCTGACGGCGATGACCACGAGGGGGTCGAGTAAACGAGTCTACCTGGAGGACAGGATGGCCTTGCGCTTCAAGGATATGTTTAATATCCTCATGACAGTCTTTTAGGTCTCTAACACCAGTTACAACATGGTGCGGGAGGAGAACAGTGCCAACACTGACATTTAACCGAGCGTTTTTGGAGACCCGAATAGGGGGTCTCCCCCAATGCAGGACATGTGGCTAAGCGGGTATCTGCATCCGGTGAAGGAGCAGCGACGAAACGTGTACCTAAACGGGTGGGGTTAAAAGTAACAGGCATCCACCGAATCAACAAGGTGTTCATAGAGTTAGAAATCGTCAGGTGGTGTAGAATCCAGAGGGAGGAGATCAAAGTGTTTAGCCCACGAAGCAGGACCAAACAAGGCTTGGTATGAAATATTATGGGAAGAGATCGTGCGAGTGTGGCCATGGCGGGGACGGCGTTGAGAACCCCCCAGAGAGAGAGAAGGGGGTTAAAAGGTGCAGTAGTCACAATGAGAGACCGAGCCGCGCCAGTCTCTCATTGGGTGACGAGGTGGTCACCGCTGAGGGCGTATGGCTCGACCCAACCACAGAGGGAGGGGAGCTGGGGGAAGTAGTCAGGAGGGTCAAAGGAGGATCTAGGTCTGGACCCAATGTAGCGGGGGCTACAGAGTCCGGTCTTCTAACACAGTCCGACTCGGGGGCTTGGTCGCCCACCCCACGAGCCTGAGAAGTCATAATAGGAACAGTATTCATCGACATGGAAACGAGAGGTAATTCTTTCATTCACGAATGTGCCCCCGCACCCACCACGGAGCCACAATTAGAGGCAGGACACCCAAGAAGAAACATGTTGCCGATCTTGCCGGGGCTCCCAGGGATGCACCATGAGTATACGCCCCACAAACGCCACCTTAAGAACCGTCAGTCCGTCGAGATCGGGATCAGTGATGAAAGGAGGATTGACAATAAAAGGATCCCCTCGCTCGTGACGTTGGGTACTACAGTTCTAAGGGTGCAAGAGTATGCCTCCTCAAACACCCGGGCGTCAAAACAAAAGGAGGTCGAAAGAATGATCAAAACACGCAAAAGGTCGGCGGGAAATGACAGTTTAAAAGAAGAGGGGGGGGGGGAGAAAAATGAAACACGAGGAAAAGGAAATGATGTCTGGCACAATTGGTAAAGACGGCAGCAGGAGCATAAGGCTGCAAAAAGCCAGAGGACTGACCCATGGAGCATTAACCTCCAGCAGCTGCTCACCAGCCCCCTCACGGCGACAACGGGCCAGACAGTGAGGGGGTATCTTGCTTGACAAACTTTACCAGAGTGAGGATCCTTACTTACGCACAGCTACAACACTAGACTCGCATGCTTTATAAAAGTTTTGGGGATTTATTTGGATCTCTAAGTTGTCATGAATATATTTCCTTTATTAAATTAGCTCCAGTTTCTGAAGTACGCTAGTTGCTGCCTCGGATACTGGTTTTCTGTATTTATGCAGAAACGGCTCCTCCTTCGTTGAGTTGGCCGCCTCGCACATCTTGCCGCACACTCTGGTGAAGTGGCCGAGGTAGGCGACTTCTGGAGAGACCGACTGCATCGACGCCCTTGAACACTTGCCTGCCAGGAGCAACACGTGTAAACATCAGCCTTAGTATCTCATGGCAAGGTAGTCAGTAGTGTTGTAAAACCTACATTCAAAACAAACAAGGGCTGCTGGTGCTCGTGTTGCTCTCTAGCATTGGTCGAGGTTCATAGTGGAAAGGACTGATATTATATACCTTCACTTTAGGAAAGCATTTGATGCTGTGCCTCACGGAAGAGACGCAAGGAATGGGGGAGGCATTTGAGTTAGATAATGGCAGGACTATTTCAAAGGGAACCGAGGATAAACAGTTTCGAACGAGAAACTTATCTGTAGAGTGCCTCAGGACTGTCTTGGGATGTCGGTTGTTTACTATTTATATACAGGTATACTATATTTGTATATATAAATAGTATATATAGAGACTGCATTGCTTAGGTCTGCCTCCCGTATGTCCCTATATCTATAACGGTCTATCCATCCATCCACCTACTCATCTTTCCAATGCATATATCCATTTATCTATCCATCCAGCTACTGTGTGTTTCTCTGCCTTTCTCATAAAAAATAGAATTGTCTAATATGTGGGTAGTCGCTAGCAAGATGAGCTTAGTGGTGTGAAATACTAAACAAAATAGTTACCGCCTTACTCTTATAAAGGCCCGTGGCTCTAAAAACCTTTGAAGCCGTGAAGAATCGTCTGTTTTACGAGAGTACGGGCAAATTATTAATAGCAGGAAATTTCTTATTTTCCAGAGATCTGTGAGTAATGGTGCATATTACTAAGATTTTTTTTTGTCAAGTTTGTTTTTAAAACAGCCGTGTAGCTGGCAGGCAGTGCCAAAAATCATCATGGTCTGAATATGACCATGTGGGAGCCGGTCGGCCGAGCGGACAGCACGCTGGACTTGTAATCCTGTGGTCCTGGGTTCGATCCCAGGCGCCGGCGAGAAACAATGGGCAGAGTTTCTTTCACCCTATGCCCCTGTTACCTAGCAGTAAAATAGGTACCTGGGTGTTAGTCAGTTGTCACGGGCTGCTTCCTGGGGGTGGAGGCCTGGTCGAGGACCGGGCCGCGGGGACACTAAAAAGCCCCGAAATCATCTCAAGATAATCAAGATATGTGACTTTTTTAATTCTGTTGGCCCCCGGCAGCCTATGTTCATTCTGTACCCTCGACCATTCCGTCTGCTAATTTGGATGATGCTAGCCAACTTCAAACAGAAACACTCGTAAAATTTATATTATATCCACCCATCAATACATCCATATCTATGTCTATCTATCCATCCATCAATCTTTATATCCATCACGCACATACTCATCTTTCTATTCATGTATCCAACTATCTTTCCATCTATATCTATTAGAAATAAAAGACTAGAAATAAAAATGAATTTTGGATAATTGATTTTTGAATTACCTCCAACAGTGAAAAGAAATGTACGAAAGATTGAGAAAATTCGTGTTAGAATTATTCATCTTACTTTTTCGGTCATATTTAATAATATATGTCTACAGGAAAGACTGCTACCAAAATATACTAATATAATTATATACAGTATATATATAATAAAATGTGACCCCTGGCATGTCGTTTCTTTTTTAATTTTGGCGACCCAGAGCAGCCTGTGTTCATCCCGTGCCCCAGACCATTCCCTCTGCCAATTGGTGAGAGCCTAGCCCCCACGTGTGGCCTCCAACTTAGCACACACACACACACACACACACACACACACACACACACACACACACACACACACACACACACACACACACACACACACACACACACACTCGTTCTTTAAAGCAGAGATATGGCAGTAAATAAGTTGAGAAGATTGAGAACTACGACAAGGCAATATAAACAAGGCTTACAATATAAACAAAAGACTGAGATGCAGTTTACTTAATCATCTTGTTGGTGCTTTAAGTTACAAAATTAGGTTAGGTACTGAAAGTGTTAAGTTATTCAGCACCATACATGATGTCAACCTCTATTTCCGTTGCTGCAGTGTTTATCATTTATAACATTGATGGTGAACTCTACCAATCATCAGTTAGGATTAGCGAGTGTGGTTACCTGTGGTACAGACGAGGACGCCATGCGAGAAGACGCCTCTGACAGTGTTCATATCATACAGAGCCTTGAAGTTGACAGAAGTGACACCGAGGTTTTGGACGGTCCTGCGAGTGTGCCTCAGGATCCACAGGTACTCCGGCACCTCTGCTGCCTCGCCCTGGGGCGACAGGTCATTGTAGAAGTTATTCCACCGGAGCCTATAAGCCACTGGCGTCTTCCGCTTCCGTTTTGCCTTCTCATTGTGTGTGCTGGAAGTAATAATGACCGATTATACATAGGAAATAATAATGACATTTTAATCATAGCACAAAACTTCGACCTTTTCATGCATTTCCTACAATGTTCACAATCAATTTAGCAGCAGTAACAGTACACAGCTGATTGTCTCGCCACTTTGCATCACACAGGCTTATGCCTCGGCTTTGGGCCTTTCATTCTCTCCCCGCCCACAGCTTTTATGTTGAAACTTGTCGCTGGTCGCTGCAAGTATTGCCTACGATACTTTGAACATCCCTCCAACACATTCATGCTTTTACCGTACCTTGACCACTGCTCCTATTGAATGTCCCCCATTTGTTTCTGAAAGGATGGCATGTTGACATTCTTTGTTCACATCTGCAATATTTTCAATCGTACTGTTCCTAATTTGCCCCCAGAGCGATTTTTTTTTAATCCCTGACTAGTGTGGTGAAGTAATTATCAATAGACGGCACCAAGCCAGGATGACCAAGTAGCACCATCCATGTCCCTGGATATTCAGGATGTGGTGAATATCACTATAACACGTGAACAAAAATAAGTTGAGCGATATCAAAATTACCGAATTCGCCAAGGATTCTACCGAGGGACAAATGACCCTAAGAGACATTAGGTAAGCAAGGCATACAATAGTTCTGAGAATCAGGACATTCTACAAGGATTTACATGACTTAAGTGAAACAATGCCGTTTGACTGCTTGACAATGACTGTCAAGCAGTCCATTTTATTTATTTGACCTTTAAATATTACACACAGATCACACTAACGTGATGCATCAAATGAACAAATCCACAAGGGCCGTAACGAGGATTCGAACCTGCATCCGGGAGCATCCCAGACACTGCCCAAATATAATACTGCAAATTTCTAAATATCTTGCAACACACATGATTCTTAAGCAGTCTTCCTGGCTTAGTGCCTCAGAGACGGCACCACTCCCGTGCCAGTAAGTCCACTACGGGCTCACCATAGCCCGTGCTACTTGGAACCTGTTCCGAGTAGCTGAATCTATAACAACTTAGTGGCTTGTGATAATTATTAGGTTCATCAACAATCTCTACTTAGTAACAAGAGGAGGAAAAGTAAGTAACATTTAGGACGTACGTAAGTGTAAGGTGGTCGAGGAAGTGGGTGTAGTTGTGGTGGTGGAGCAAGATGGGCAGCTCGTCAGGGTCGTAGTGAGCGATGAAGCGGTACTGGTGCATGTGCCGCAGGAGGCAGTCGCTGAAGTATATGTTCTCCTGCGCGAACATTTTTTTCCTCTCTACCAATGTCCAAAATCTGAAATTGGAAAGGATTTGAGAGGTTGACCTGAAAGCCTGTTATAATAATATTTTAAGCATCGTAATGGCTGCGGGAAGCAGCCCTGATTCCCTCCTTCCCTCCTCCCCCCCCCCCCCCCGCCATTTGTCGAAGATCAAGAGGCCACTAGGTGCCGGGGTGGTCCGGCTCGCTTGGCCCTCTCCAGGGCTACGTTCCCCAACTCCATCCACCCCACTCGATTCCCTCTCTTCCCCCCTCTCTCCTGTTCCTCCCATTTGACTTGACTACCATGTGAGTCAAGTATCCCTCCCTGTATCTTAGAGTGGACAGGTTTGGACATAACTTAAAATTATGTTAGATTAAGGACCTGCCCGAAACGCTCTGCGTGCTAGTGACTTTAGGCTTTACAAGAATGTAAAATCTTCATTGCTATGTACTTCTCTTAACCCCCCCCCAATGTACCTTCTTATTTATAAATAAATAAATTATATATACTTTACCAGAACCATTTCATATAAGCAAGTGTCCACAGTGAAGGGTTAGGCTACATAGACACAACCCTACCTCTGAATACTGGGCTCGTTGATATATGGCGGTGGGTAGGAGTATCTGGTGAGCTGAACGAAGCCGTCATCCACGTAGTAATTAAGGACCTTCTCAATGTTAGGATGGACGTTGGCAGTGTAGAGGAACACCCTGCCGAAGCCCTCCGCCCGCAGGATCTCCAGCCACTCCACCAGTCGCTTGGAGAAGTCCTTGTGGTAGTAGTAGAGAGCTGGACCACACACGGCCGGCACCCACCCAGTCACTGCCCTGTGGGACGTACACCTGGTCACACCTGCTGTGTGTCACACCTGGTCACACCTGCACGACCTTACATCTGCTGTGTGTCGCACCTGGTCACACCTGCACGACCTTACATCTGCTGTGTGTTGCACCTGGTCACACCTGCAGGACCTTACATCTGCTCTGTCACACTTGTGTCGAGCTTGTAATACACTGGACACATTTATACAGCTGCACTGTACTACACTGGACACGTTTAGACAGCTGCACTGTATTACACTGGACACATTTATACAGCTGTACTGTACTACACTGACCTACACTGTACATAGTCTGTACGCTGATCCACATGATAACAATATAGCGTGTGTTTGTCCCAGGCCTCCCCCCCCCATATCTCAATAAACACAGCACCTGAAACACTTCTAAAAATAGTTTGGTAACCTGAATGTGAAGTTAAAACTAGATTGAGCCTAGTTAGCTCAATCTTAGCTAGTTAGCCTAGAAGCTAGACTAACACTTAGCTTTATAACACGATAACATTCAACAGAAGCAAGGAATGGGCAGATTGTAAGTTTCCCTCAATTGTCAATGTTAGATGCTTCCATACAGAAGATAGTAAAGAGCAAGGGAAGCAAGCCGAGGCAAGTAAAGGTGACCAAATGGACAAGGAAGCACCCTTCTGATAGGAAGCAGAAGGCCAAGGTGAGGGAGAACTCACACTGCTGATAGATCAGGAGTGGGGTGACTAGTGTCGGTGCCAGACTAAAACTTACTTTTAATCAATTTCAACATTCTGATAAATTAGTATCTCGGATGTTAGCAGATAATAGCAAACTTATGATAAATAATCAGAATAATTGAGTATTGTGGGACAAAGCAAAATAATCTAGACATGCTCCCCAGGTATTCTGAAGAATTATCGACTTCAATTTTAAAATGCTCTTTTTCTAACAAATGAATGGGAAGAACATGCTGAAACACTCATTAAGTGTACAAAAAACAAGCCAGTTAATGCCTTTCATCTTACGTGATGTGTTAGATTATATATAAGGACCTGCCCGAAACACTATGCGTGTTAGTGGTTTTGCATGAACGTAAAAATACCAATCTTGTGTAATCTCACCAATCCATTGTACCTTCTTGCAAATAAATTATTATTATTATTATTATACCTTATGATTGGAGCAAGTTGAATCATATTGTGATGTCACTACACTATATAAACTGGTGTTAAGGAGGCTGGTCTGGAGAGCTAGAGCACATTTGCAGGAGACAAATAGATAAGGACACGTGTAGGAGTATGACAAAACGTAACTATTAGACTCGGCCGATCAAAGGCCTTAAGAGTCTTGTCAAATGTTGGCTTCTGCTATGACACATGACAAGGAAGATAGATTGAGGCGAGGGAGAGTATTACCTGGTGGGGTCGGCGGGCTTGTGTCCATGCTGGTAGGCTGACGCCTCTCTCTCCTTGGCTCCCACCACCTGTTGGCACCCCTGGCACGTTATTCACTTCTCTGTCACCTTATTCACCCGTCACTGTCACGTTATTCACCCCTCACTGTCACGTCATTCACCCCTCACTGTCACGTCATTCACTCCTCACTGTCACGTCATTTACACCTCACTGTCACGTCATTCACATCTCACTGCCACGTTGCTTAGCTTCATCCAGTCTTTTTCAGCTGTTGCAACAATCTCGTCTCCCCAGTTATAATGATATTAGCTTTATCCCATAAAGCTAACTACGGTCCGCGGTTGTTCCTCGGTGCAACAGTTTTGAGATACTGCACAACGCGAGGAATCTGAGGCACACTGACAACACTGACTAAAGTATATTTGCCACACTGAAGAGCACTAGTCCAGCACCGCTCCTGTGCCAGGTAAGTCCACTACGGGCTCACCATAGCCCGTGCTACTTGGAACTTGTTCAGAGTAGCAGAATCTATAACAACAACGGCACTAGTCGAGTGGTCGTGAAGACTCATCAACGACAACAGGTTCCAGAAACATTGTTCCTCTACTGCCTATGTTACGTGGTTCACTAGGAGCAAACAAGTGGCGACAATCAGCATTCAATGACACTGCAGGACCTGTAAGATCTCCAGAGCGTCAGGGCTTCAGGACATGGATGAACTCCGGCTGTCTCAATCAACTTATCAGAGAATTACACGGTCAAAAGCATCACAAACAACATGGTCAATAACACAAATATACTAAAGTAAACAATGCAAATTTCGCTATAATAAGTCTAGCCGATCTCTGTCACTCGGTAAATTAACTCTTGTCGGGAAGGTAAGTCAAGAATTATCAAGACATGTCTGGAAGGTGGAGGTGCAAGATTTCTGCACGAGAGAGGAGGGAAGCCAGCTAAGCAAGGAGCAAGAGGCAGACGGAAAACCAGCACTAATTTCAGAGATGCGACGTCAAAGGTATTAGACTCGCCCAGGATTGTATCTAGGGATATACGACTAAATTGTCGTAAAACAAAATAACGCAACACTTCTGCGAGTTTAAGTCCCATGACTAAGGTTCCAAGTAGTGCACTGTCGCGGGGAGGGGGGGAGGGGGGACAAAAGAGCAAGACTAAAGTAAGTTTAGCATTACGTGGGGGAAGTGGGGGGGGGGGTTACTATTACCTGCTTCACTCCTACTACTGATTTGGACAGTGGTGACCACAAAACTCCCAGCAATACTAATATTGGTAATGTTCTACCGCCCCATCTTGTTAATACTAGGGATCAGAGCCTACCGTGACGACATAAAGACTATCCTAGAGTACCAGCCACCAGGAGCACTCCATCGTCTGAGTGAACGCATTGAGTAGAGAGAGTGGACATGTCACTCTACTGCTACGTTCTACCGCTCGGACGATGGAGTGCTCCTGGTACTCTAGTATAGTCAATGCTGTCACGACAATCTGGGATCCCTGTTATTAACGTCGACATGGGGCGGGGTAGGACATTACCATTATTAGCATTGCTGGGAGTGTTGGGTCATCATGGTCGAGGTGTAACAGAGGAGTGAAGCGAGGCATCTGGCCTGCTCCAGCGTCTGGAGTTTTAACCACGTGTGTTACCCACATGGTAACTCCTGCTCCTACCCCAGCCAGGCCGCTGGGGTAGGAGGGTAATATTCTACCCAACTGACTGAAGCAGCTCAATATGCAACTGGAGAGAATTATACTAACCAACATGAGGTAAAGATGGAAATATTTTCTCAGTGTAAATCAAAGGGTTTCAGAAGGTATGGTCTGAGGGCCACACCGATGATACTGCCACAGAAATGACGGAGATAGATGACGGAGAGTATGACCAGGGAACACTTTACGGGCTTACCATAGCCCGTGCTACTTGGGACTTTGAGTAGCTGAATCTAAAGCAACAAGAGGGACCAGTGCCAAGTCGGTGCCCAACACAGCCGACCGTGGAGCCAACAAGGCGCATGTGGGTGGTAGTTTACCTGGAGTAAAGTAGTGGCAGGTTGACAGGGCAGGTTAAGGAGGGAGACGGTAGTTTACCTGGAGTAAAGTAGTGGCAGGTTGACAGGGCAGGTTAACGAGAGAGACGGCACCTGGCTGAAGGTGGGCTGCCTGGGACGGTAGGGGACAGGTGAACATGAAGGGCATCTGACGGTCCCCACTCCTTCCTTGGTAGTCCAAGTAGTCTGTACACAAATATTATGACCACGACATACAATATTGCCAGACAACAATACTGCATAAACACTAAACATTTAAATGCCATCATCCCCCAAACTGTTATTGAGACTTGCTGAATTGGCTATTAAATTTGACATTAAAACATTTGACATTAAAACAGTTAACATTAAAAGTTAACATATTAAAAACCCTTTGGAAGTATAGATATATAAAGCAAAACAAACTGTACAGCAAAAAATGCTTATTAAAAATGGTTTTAATGTTTATTATAACTAGAAAATAGTAATAGCTTTATTGAAGCCTTATATTGTGCTATGCAACAAAGTATAACAGATCAACAACACATTCTTGGGCATAATACAGGGTAATAATGACCTACATTACTGGCATAATACAGGGTAATAATGACCTACATTACTGGCATAATACAGGGTAATAATGACCTACATTACTGGCATAATACAGGGTAATAATGACCTACATTACTGGCATAATACAGGGTAATAATGACTTACATAATTACTGTCATACTCATATACCCATATGAACCACACCTGTAAACACAGTTCTCCAGACTCAACAACACTGCTCAGTTACTTACTAGTATTGTGTTAAGTGCGGGGGATAACGTAGATCAGTTGCCCAGGCTATCGTCTCCTGACTACACCTGCCACCAGTGTTAATCTGGGTTTATATATTGTCTTGTGTGGCTATCGTCACCGATCTCTGAAGAAGCCAGAGTGCAGGTGAGAATTACCACCTACCAGCAGGAACCAGGAGAGCCCGCCACCTACCAGCAGGAACCAGGAGAGCGCGCCACCTACCAGCAGGAACCAGGAGAGCGCGCCACCTACCAGCAGGAACCAGGAGAGCGCGCCACCTACCAGCAGGAACCAGGAGAGCGCGCCACCTACCAGCAGGAACCAGGAGAGAGCGCCACCTACCAGCAGGAACCAGGAGAGCGCGCCACCTACCAGCAGGAACCAGGAGAGAGCGCCACCTACCAGCAGGAACCAGGAGAGCCCGCCACCTACCAGCAGGAACCAGGAGAGCCCGCCACCTACCAGCAGGAACCAGGAGAGCGCGCCACCTACCAGCAGGAACCAGGAGAGCGCGCCACCTACCTGCAGGAACCAGGAGAGCGCGCCACCTACCTGCAGGAACCAGGAGAGCGCGCCACCTACCAGCAGGAACCAGGAGAGCCCGCCACCTACCAGCAGGAACCAGGAGAGCCCGCCACCTACCAGCAGGAACCAGGAGAGCCCGCCACCTACCAGCAGGAACCAGGAGAGCCCGCCACCTACCAGCAGGAACCAGGAGAGCCCGCCACCTACCAGCAGGAACCAGGAGAGCCCGCCACCTACCAGCAGGAACCAGGAGAGCCCGCCACCTACCAGCAGGAACCAGGAGAGCCCGCCACCTACCAGCAGGAACCAGGAGAGCCCGCCACCTACCAGCAGGAACCAGGAGAGCGCGCCACCTACCAGCAGGAACCAGGAGAGCGCGCCACCTACCAGCAGGAACCAGGAGAGCGCGCCACCTACCAGCAGGAACCAGGAGAGCGCGCCACCTACCAGCAGGAACCAGGAGAGCGCGCCACCTACCAGCAGGAACCAGGAGAGCGCGCCACCTACCAGCAGGAACCACGAGAGCGCGCCACCTACCAGCAGGAACCACGAGAGCGCGCCACCTACCAGCAGGAACCAGGAGAGCGCCACCTACCAGCAGGAACCAGGAGAGCGCGCCACCTACCAGCAGGAACCAGGAGAGCGCGCCACCTACCAGCAGGAACCAGGAGAGCCCGCCACCTACCAGCAGGAACCAGGAGAGCCCGCCACCTACCAGCAGGAACCAGGAGAGCCCGCCACCTACCAGCAGGAACCAGGAGAGCCCGCCACCTACCAGCAGGAACCAGGAGAGCCCGCCACCTACCAGCAGGAACCAGGAGAGCCCGCCACCTACCAGCAGGAACCAGGAGAGCGCGCCACCTACCAGCAGGAACCAGGAGAGCGCGCCACCTACCAGCAGGAACCAGGAGAGCCCGCCACCTACCAGCAGGAACCAGGAGAGAGCGCCACCTACCAGCAGGATCCACGAGAGCCCGCCACTTACCAGCAGGAACCAGGAGAGCGCGCCACTTACCAGCAGGAACCAGGAGAGCGCCACTTACCAGCAGGAATAACCAGGAGAGCGCGCCACTTACCAGCAGGAACCAGGAGAGCGCGCCACTTACCAGCAGGAACCAGGAGCCCGCCACCTACCAGCAGGTACCAGGAGAGCGCGCCACCTACCAGCAGGTACCAGGAGAGCGCGCCACCTACCAGCAGGAACCAGGAGAGCGCCACCTACCAGCAGGTACCAGGAGAGAGCGCCACCTACCAGCAGGAACCAGGAGAGCGCCACCTATCAGCAGGAACCTCGAGAGCGCTACCTACCAGCAGGAACCAGGAGAGCGCCACCTATCAGCAGGAACCTCGAGAGCGCTACCTACCAGCAGGAACCACGAGAGCGCCACCTACCAGCAGGAACCAGGAGAGCGCGCCACCTACCAGCAGGAACCAGGAGAGCGCGCCACCTACCAGCAGGAACCAGGAGAGAGCGCCACCTCCCAGCAGGAACCAGGAGAGCGCGCCACCTACCAGCAGGAACCAGGAGAGCGCCACCTACCAGCAGGAACCAGGAGAGCGCCACCTACCAGCAGGAACCAGGAGAGCGCCACCTACCAGCAGGAACCAGGAGAGCGCCACCTACCAGCAGGAACCAGGAGAGCGCGTCACCTACCAGCAGGAACCAGGAGAGCGCCACCTACCAGCAGGAACCAGGAGAGCGCGCCACCTACCAGCAGGAACCAGGAGAGCGCCACCTACCAGCAGGAACCAGGAGAGCGCCACCTATCAGCAGGAACCTCGAGAGCGCTACCTACCAGCAGGAACCAGGAGAGCGCCACCTACCAGCAGGAACCAGGAGAGCGCCACCTACCAGCAGGAACCAGGAGAGCGCGCCACCTACCAGCAGGAACCAGGAGAGCGCCACCTACCAGCAGGAACCAGGAGAGCGCCACCTACCAGCAGGAACCAGGAGAGCCCGCCACCTACCAGCAGGAACCAGGAGAGCGCCACCTACCAGCAGGAACCAGGAGAGCGCCACCTACCAGCAGGAACCAGGAGAGCCCGCCACCTACCAGCAGGAACCAGGAGAGAGCGCCACCTACCAGCAGGAACCAGGAGAGAGCGCCACCTACCAGCAGGAACCAGGAGAGCGCGCCACCTACCAGCAGGAACCAGGAGAGCGCCACCTACCAGCAGGAACCAGGAGAGCGCCACCTACCAATCTTGGTGACCTTGGCGACGACTGGAGGTTGTTGTGGGTTGAACCAGAGGTGACACCAGCCGGCGGGAGGGTTGGTGCTCCTGGTCACGCCCAACACCCTCACGCATGGCTCTCCTCCTGTACCAGGAATATGCTGCTTAGATGGGGGAGGTGTGTACGAGGTCCCCACCTTCCCTCTGTTGGCTGGGGTGGGGGGTCAGGGCGCTCCCCGACTGCCCTCTCCCTTTCCGCCTACTCAACCAACCCCAAAAAGAGCTCCTTTGACTCACCTGGGTTGGGGTCGTAGGTGGCAGAGTAGAGCAATATGGGGATGTTGTTCAACCTCGTCTCCTGCCAGTACACGTTCACCCACGCTATGCTATAGGAAGATCCAATAGTGTTTTATTGCTTGTTGAATTTATCGCCATATCCTTGACCTACCTCTTACCCTATACTCACATTTCAAACTGTTTTAAGTCGGCCTACCTTGTCTCGCCTCCTGTTCTGTCCTTCCTCTCTTGCCCAACAATCTATCGATACCCCAGTGTTATGTAGGATTAAGTATCCCACTTTTCCTGGCCAATGTGGAGGGCTTGTCCCGTGACTATGGTAGCCTAGTCTACAGGTCATAATCTTCCTTGACAAGTGCACAGAGCAAGAGTTTCAGAATCTCCTGTGTATGGATACCATCTCGCATAGGTGTTGTCCAACAAGATGATACGGACAAGGCAGATAAAGCTTCATATAATCAGTGATTGATACGGGAGGGATACAAGATATACCTACTTCAAGTTTCCAATTTTTCAATTTCTGTACTAATGGAAACATCTATATGCTATTTATAATTTGTCAAGTTCCTACAGTTAAAAGCACTTTAGTTATAATTATGGGTGAACCTCCTTGTGATGCTCTAGCATAAATCATGGATACAGCCATATACATATACTATACATAGTTCCTAAAATCTACTTCCATCGCTTCATGTAATAAACCTTAAAAATGAACTGTTCCCAGGAATCGTGTCCACTCTCAGCCAACACTTACCTGACGAGCGAAGGCAGTAAAGAGCAGCACAACTTCCCGCTCGTCTGATACAGAAGGTCAACAGGCAGATTTGGGTGATGGCGAGCCAGGAGCTCAGAGGTGGTGGCGTTGAGGCTAGGTAGCTCCAAGTCGAGCTGCTGAGCCATCAACGGTCCGCCATTCAACTTCCGTAGCTTGCACCTGCAGCTCGGAACATCTTCCAGATGCGTAGAGTTATTACTGCCGATCCCAACAGGGTTCAAGGAAGCCGGAATGAGACGAGTACCGAACACAATGACGCAAGCGATGAGCACCACCACTGCCAGCAACGCTCTATGGGGGACGACAGAGCGATTACTTGTGCAATACTATTGCATAACCCTCTTACCCTATCATGTATTTAAGGACATATCCTGGAAAATTTTTGCTTAATAAGTAATTTAAATCAAATTTAAAACTATACTAATTAGTAGACGAAACAAAATACATGTCATTAGAAAATATTACTTTAAATTATTATTCATTCTTATTTAGTTTTATTATTATAATTATTCATTCGTATTATTATTTAGTTGATACAACAGCTTGAACTGTTGTATCAACTGATACAACGGCTGCCCCCTACCACTGTGATACAACAGCTGCCCATACACTGACAACATTTCTTGAAACATCAAACATTTACACAAACATAGGTAAGATTTGCAATTAACTATACAGGGACAGCCACAAACACGTAACGTCATCGTTACAAAGAATTAACATTGTACAAACAAATGTAATATTACGGCAGGCACAACTTGCACTCAAAAAGAATCCTGCCAATCAGAGGTAACATGGCCACAGACACGATGGTACTCACCTGATGTGCCTCAAACCGATCATTTTGCACTAACAATTCGACCTGCAAAGACCCAATAATAATTTACAAATGGCCCAAACGATAAAACAATTAACGACGACAATGGAAAGACTACATAAATACCATTGAATGAACAATGCTGTGCTATATCAAAACTTGCGCTCAACACTATAAACTTTCCAGTTGCAGGAGCAGTAAGCGACATTACAAAGACGACTTAAACTCCTTTGGTTCAGTGGTTTAAAGTAGAAAATTTTTTATGTTAATAAATGTGAAATACAATTAATGAAGTAATAAATGTATTAATTATATGTAATATACAAGAATCTGATTATATGTATCATTCGAGAACGTTCATGCGGATACAATTTTGTAGAGCTTTTCTACCATGATGCATACATGTTTTGTTGGAAATAAATGTGAAAAAGCCTATTAAAAAAAAGTTAGTTAAGAAAAACTGATGTGGAGCTACAAGCATCGTGCAGATTTAAATAAATGCAACAATATCGAGTCATTTGTAAATTTTTCGATTTAGAACAGTCATTATCACACTGTTCAATTCATTAATTTGTCCTATAATAGTATACTACAGTTTTGTTGAAGCATTGAGCTCCGAGCAACAAACATGATACCAAGAATTTGAAATAAATTGTACAAAGTCCCGTTAATAAGATCGAACACATTCAATCTTGAGTAGAGAAGACAAGGGAGGTGATTTAAGGTATACAAAAAATACTATTTGTGCGTCGGGTGAAACAAACCACCATAGGCGATATAACTTTTTAATCATTTTAAATATTAATAATACATATTTGCAACTACAAGATGCGTGGAATTGTTACAACTGCAGTTGCTAGTAATTTGCAACTGAAGCTGCTGAATTTTTTTTTTTGGGTAGCTTTGCGGTTGCAACTACGAGTTGCTAGAAATGTGCAACTGCGAATTACAGCCTATGGTGTGCATGTGCAGAGATACATGTTAAGTGACCTTAATAGCTATACTTGTATACCTATTTCACGTAAGTAGGGGCACTCTGGCACCCGAACATAGTATGTAAATAAAGTATACAAGGTTAGAGAACTCATCCCAGAATTATAAATGATGCATTTAATAATACTTTGACTTCTCAATGTTTAACATAACATGAAACCGTCTTAAATTTATAGGCAAATATTTCCATGCCAGTAAAGTCAAACATTTTTAATTAATAATAAGGAATGGAAATTATTTGACATATTTTGCAAGCCAAGAATGATTAATATCTGGTTTTCATTTAGTAATAAACACTTGGAATAACTTATTAAAAGATATTTCAATGCAACACGCATGCATTTGACAACAGATAGGAAAAAAACGCTATACATTTAAAATTAATGAGCTGCTGCTTTTTATTTCTTTTGCAGCTTACCATGAGGCTTCATGGACCGGAGGCCTAGTGCTTGTCACGAGGCCTGAAAATTTGAGGGTTAAACCAATATAATTCTGTCATGTAATACAAGTATATATGCACCATGGTAAAAAAGATCTACAAAATTGGATCTGCATAAACGTTCTTGAATGTGTATGATACACAATCAGATTCTTGTATGATATACATATAACTAGATACAGCGACGAGAACACGTTTCTTAGACAGAGGAGGATGGTAGAAAGAAATGAATGTACATACCATTGAACATAGGCTTGCGGTAGACAGAGGCTAGACGCAGATCTTTGAACATGTACATTTAAGAAAGGAAAGAGGAAATGATATTTCTACTCAACTTTGAAAATACCCAGCCAGATTATTTAGGAGAGATTATTTAGAAAGATTGGAAAAGATGAGTTCCGAGGCCAAATTGCAAAAATATCAACATGCGAGGCCAGAGAGGTGGGGGTATCAATTATGGAAAGAAGCACCGTTTCAAAGTATTCCATATAGAGAAAAAATAACATCTTATAGCGCCACCAAAAGTTTGGTAAATTTTTTTTGCATGAATGTTAAATACACCAGACGTGTCTAATCTGTAACTAATACTATACTTTGCATCATATAGACGTACAAAGTTTTCATTAAACTAAAAAAAGTAACACATAGCGAACTTTTGCAGATAATTCTTGTTGACCCTGAAATCCTACACGCACAAGTATTGTCAACACGAAGCATGCCACCAAGTGCCACACTAATGCCAGCACATTACCCATGTACTAATTAGTTATTGCCATTCCAGACTATTCGCACTGTCATACACATCTGTTATTTTAAACAAGGAGAATCCACACAGTTTCAAATATAAAAAGACATTTTACAAAGTAAACCTTAATACTAGTGTAAAAAAGAAAAACGTTAAATGACAAGTCTTCACCAGAACTAGTCCTACTAACAATGTAGCCAGTCTATATGAGCACAATAACGCAGGAGAGCCAATATGGAGCTTGGTGTGTGGTAACGTGTAGGAGCGCCTCTGGTGGCCGGGATGCTGGGGTCCTCACTACTGACGGAGCCAGAGATACGGGTACCGGTACAAGTTGTCGACTACGAAGATAAGGTCCCTTATCTCCTCCACTATCAGATATACAACGATGTTACAAATGGTTGAAAGTTAAAATAATGTGCAACATATCTGTTTTAACAAACTCCTTAATGGCAAGCGTATGTTTTTATTTATTTTTACACACACCAAAGCTAAGGTATGAGCTACGAGGAAGGTAAGGGAATTAAACCTCACGTCGCTGGGAGACGTGAGAGTTTGTGCGACATGATCACCACATACAAGATTATCAGAGGAATTGATAGGTAGATAAAGACATACTATTTAACACAAGGGGCGCACTAGGGGACAGAGGTAGAAATTGAGTGCCCAAATGAGCCATAGAGATATTGAACATTTTTTCAGTGTCAGTAGTAGACAAATGGAATGCATCTCAAACCGACTGAATCCTATGCCTTTACTGATAGCTCTGTGCAGTTAGCACTGGTAGAGCAGGTTGTACATGTGCAGTATATAAAGGAAATAAAATGATCATGTCTAGTACACAGACTGAACGACTGGGCAAGCACGACACAGACCGAGCTATTGGGTATTCATCTAACCACCGAGTACCTTAAGCTCAATGGTGGTGGAGTTATTTTCTGTGACAAAGTGCTCTGCAGTCCTTAAATAACCCATCGCAGTGTATGTCGGAAGTTAGTTTTTAACAATAAATTTAATGTAATTTTTCCCAATGATAACTATTGTATAAAATTTGTGTGGATCCCATCCCATGTTGAAGTTGGTAAACATGACTTTGTAGATCGATTGGTCAATGAGGCTTGCAGTTAAGAAAACATTGATTAGGACTTTGGACTATCTAATGCAATTATTAAAAAATTAAAAAAATTAATTCAGATTTAGAAGAACCAAGACATGCCCAGACCTGAAAGTAAGTAAGTAATTATCAAAAGAAGGCACCAAACCGGGAAGGCTATGTAGCACCATCAAATACGCAAAATAATCAGAGGGCGCTAAATATCACCAAGGATGCCAATACGAGAACAAAAACGCATAAGGCGAACGATATCAAAAGTATCCGAGTCACCAAGAATTCTATCGAGGGACAGGTGACCGCGAGGGGCGGTCGGAAAGCAAGACACACGCTCGTCCTGGAAGTCAGGACATTCAAGAAGGACATGCACGACCGTAAGAGGGACAATGCAACTAGGACAATAAGGAGCAGGGCGGCGCTCCATCAAGTGACCATGGGTTAAGCGAGTATGGCCAATACGCAACCTCGCTAGAGCTGTTTCCCACCGCCGGTTACGGTGGAAGGAGGACGGCCACGAGGAAACACAACATTTAAGAGTACGTAGCTTGTTACCAGTAACAGACAACCAAGAAGCCTGCCAACGGGTAAGGACTGAGGAATGGATAACCGGGTAAAAGTCGGAATACGGAATGCCTTTACGAGAGATGGGACAAGAGCGGACAGCTTCCTTAGCGGCAGCATCCGCACGCTCATTTAAAGACACGCCAATATGGCTGGGAACCCAACAAAACTCAACCGACTTAAATTTACTGTGAACGAGAAACAGCCAATGCTGGATCTCGACAACTACCGGATGAACTGGATTAAAGCACCCGAGAGCCATGAGGGCACTACGAGAGTCAACAACAACCACAAAGGAAGACTGACAACGAGAAAGCAGGAGACGAAGAGCATAGAGAATAGCATAAAGTTCCGCTGTAAAGATGCTAGTCTCCGGAGGCAAGCGACACATATAAGTGCGATCAGGAAAAACAACAGAGTAGCCAACACCGTCCGCTGACTTAGACCCATCGGTGAAGACAGAAACGGAGCGGGAGTGAGAAGAAAAGTGCTCGAGGAAAAGGCGTTTTAGAACTGTAGGAGGGGTAAAAGCTTTAGTGATGCGAGTCAAGGATGTACAAAACCGCGGAAGAGGGACCCTCCACGGGGGCAAAGAAGGAACAACACGAGGAGAAACATCAGAAATACGAACGGAAAGAGAATCCTGCAGGCGAGATAACCGGACAGAAAGAGGGAGGTGGTGAAGAGGAACAGGAACCGCAGGAGGGGTAAAAGTTAAAGCACGACAGAGACGAGAGGAAGGATGTTGCAAGGACCGCGCAAGATAGCGAAGACAGTAGCGATCACGGCGGTCCTGGAGAGACAGGAAGCCAGTGTCAACATACAAGCTAAGGACGGGAGTCGAACGAAAGGCACCAGAACTGAGGCGCAACCCAGTATGGTGCAAAGCATCAAGACGGCGAAGAGTAGAAGGAGAAGCAGACGAGTAAGCAGGGCAACCATAATCGAGCTTAGACAGGACGAGAGAGGAATGTAAAGCAAGGAGAGTGCGCCTATCTGCCCCCCAAGAAGTATGGGACAAGACCCGAAGGAGGGTAAGGGACTTAGAGCACTCAACACGGAGGTAAGAGATATGGGGAGACCAAGACAAACGAGTGTCAAGGAATAACCCCAAAAGCTTCGCGGAATCTTTGTATTCAAGGGGATGACCATAAAGTGACAAAGAGGGACGAAGAACAACCCGTTTCCGCGTAAAA